TGCGATAGACTTACCTCCACGTGGTGCACCCTGGGCAACGTATACTCAAACGGCAAAAAAGTCTTAACCGGCAGTTGACTTCTGACTTCAAAATACCATGGCACGACTGCTTGTCATATTCGACCGCTTCCACAATACTCATCTTACCCTTTCCTCTGCCTTTGTGTCTGCCTCTTTTACATCTGTGAATCGCTCTTCTGTTCCCCAACCCTCGACTTTCTGCTACTTTGATGAACCTTCCCTCTGTGAAGCCCGAAGTCAATTAAAGGGCTAATGATAGCTATCGAAACCCCCGCCATTTGAAATAAATAAATAACTTTAAACCAAGAATATCGTATTGAAATTACATAGCATAAATCGTTCTTCTCGTTTATCAATCTGAAAAGTTGTGATTGACACATTACACTATTATGGTGTTAACAAATATTTTTGTCACACTAAGTAACGCATGATCATTTCAAATCTCAAAAATTTCGATTCTATGACCATATATAACGTGTTCCAATATTAGTGTTGCCAAACCTACCTATTACCATCAAGCTATTTAAGAGAAGACTGCAGGAGTGAACTACCTCATTAACATACCTCAAATTGCTCATGAGTCCACGTTATCTGGTTTGGTGAGCCCTCGTCGGATGATGTGACGCCATTTTGCACATCTCGAATTCGACGCACGATTCCAGGTGATGACGATGATGAAGCCTTAGAGATAGAAGAGCACATAGAGCAAGTCCACCGCTGCTTTTTAGGAACATCCGACTTTTGCAAACGTGGAAGATGGCACTGTGGATGGAAAGTGCGAGAACAGGCTGAACACAATAGAAGCAATCCTGCAGAGCGGCAGACTGAGCAACCCCCATAAAATAAACGCGAGTTGTCCATAATTTCTGAGTCATCTACTTCAGTTCCTTCGACGCCATTAACTTGAGGAGCATTGGCACCTTCCTTATTAGAAGAATTTGGAGCCAAAGAGACCTAAAAAAGTAAGCAAAGAGGAGGGACCACTTAATACATAAAAAAAGTCATTTTACTGAAATGAATAAAGTAGGCAACTCACATCACCGTTCATTTCGTTAGCAGTCCAAAAGACTGTAGAGAGCGAATTTACCACTTCTTCGGGTGACCGAGTAGGTAGATAATGGACACGAGAGGTGGAAGCCTTCTGCCAACCAATAGCGTCTTTTAGATTGCTCCGTATCTCGTCAACCGAAACATCTAACGTGGCCAATTCTTCCACACGTTTAGCTAGATCACCCAGTTGATCCTCAATATGACCAGCAAGTTGAACCAAACTTGCAGGATCCTTGCTTTCATTATCGACCAAGAAACGTGCCAATCGGAGGGTATAATCAATTCGGTTCTACAAGGATAATAATTGGATTCAGTAAATGCGCATACAAACACTAGGCTAAGAGGATTAAATAAAACTTTTGATACTTTGCAAAAGAATAACAACTTAAGATACAAACCATAAAAACATTTGCGTTAGCTAGAAGAGTTCAATCAAAAGTCGAAACAAATTTGATAATATCAAATATGGGCATGAGCATTAAGATTAGTTATTTCTAGAAAAAAGAGCCAGAAAAGTGTCAAGCAACTAATTGAGAGAATCACAATTGAAATAAACGGCCCATTCCTACTTGAGGGAATAAACCTGCAAATAAGCAGCAGCAGCAGTAGTAGTGCAAAGAAAGTTACACTGAGAGGCTGCTACTCAGCATCAATCATCAGTCATAGACATAGATTCTATTAATTCCTTCTCTACTATAAAACTATTCAATTTCAAAAGCAGAGACACAAGGGTGGATAAGGAGACTTCAGGGCCACTCATGCTAAGAGAAGCATAAAAGTTGCTTAGTACTTTCCTCTGCCACCCATTTTTTGAAATAAAATTGAAATGGGTAATATAAAGGAGTATTTGGTTATTGAAAGGGAATATTGAAATGCTGCTTAATTTTGCTATAAAAAATGGAAGAGTCAAGGGTTTTACAGAAGTAAGAGACAAATGTTATACATTCCATAATAAGCATAAATTAGTTTAAGTGAATTTGAAATGAGTGCAATAAACCAAATGGACAAAGTGAAAATTGAAATTTAGTAAGCACTCATTGAGAGGAATTGCAATCCATCATTTCGATCAATGTGCATTAAAGACTTGCACACACATCTTACTAAGATTCTATGGGAAGTCCCAAAGGCACGATTGATTCAAAAAGATAGATCAAAATGATAATAAAAATCACAATACCGAAAGATTTTGCATGATTGCATTGGCCGCGTAAAGTCTGTCAAGATGTACTCTGCCCATCTCATCCAACTCAGTCATAAAATCCACCTTTTTGGCATTAGCGATTCGCATCATATCATCAATTGCTCGTTGATGAGAAGCTTTTGCAGCTTCAATACTAACAAGAATATCAGCAGGCGAATTTGCAGTCAACTCAACGAAATTCCTCAATTTTTTAGCCTCGGCTTCCATGGATTTGATTGAAGAGACAAGACCAGGGCGAATTAGTTCCGCTTTTTCCTTGACCCAACGATGGCCGCCATGATCACGATGCAAAGAGAGCTGACAATCTCGACAGGTTAATACACCGCAGGTTTCACAGTAAAGTTCAAGAGTTTCATGGGGATGAATTTCACACATTAAACCTTTTTCTCCATAATCTCCAAAAATGTCTATTTTATGAGATCTAAAAGTTGGCATTCGATTGTGACCCTTAATGCATTCAGAACAGAGCCACAAGTCGCATTCTTTGCAATGACCCTGGGAAATATTTGTTTCCTCGCCCTCAGCGCACCAAACACAATTTGGTGCACAATTTTGAGAAGTGAGTTTACACAAAGCACCATTTGTGATAAGCTAAAGGGCAATAACATGTAATTACGACTTACCTTATCACTAATTTTATGACACTTGGCACAACGGTACCCGTCTCCACATTTAACTTGTTCCACACACTCCTCACAAACAGTATGAAGACAGAGAGGAAAAAGTCTTGTTGTTTCAGGCGATCCACAGATGCAGCATTCGAAAAGCTTTCGAACCGGTTCAGACTCTATAATCATATCTACGCAAATAACCGGAGGAGGGGACTTACCAAGGTTAGCTTTTGCGTAAAGAAGGCGCCTGCATGTAAACGATTAAAACAGAATCCAAAAGAAATCCACAAAACATGGACCACTCTAAAGTCTAAAATCCATTTATTCCACTTGTTTATAATCGTTCAAAGAGAAACTAAATCTACGTAAAACATTTTAATTTCCCGAATTTATATTATGGCTAATATAATTCTATCAAAAAATAACATCCTTATAATTGTATATTCTTACAAAATAAACACAAATCGCTAAAACGTTGTAATCAAGTAAGACATCTTTCATTATTTTGCTTTTTATGCTAGCTTATTTCATTAAGTTGCAAAGTTATTTATCATCAAATACGTAATTTGATGTTAAATTTAGGACTGCGATCATAAATTGTATTTAACCCATAATAACTCAATATTATAGTAAAAATAATTTCTTTTCAATTATCTTATGTGTAAACAACTTTAACCAATCAATAAGCGGGGTCCTATATGACCGGCTTTTCAATTGAAGGAATCAACGCAGTTAAAAATGAATCTTGAAAATCGGCCTATAATATATTGTGAGCATAAATCTAATCAAATTTTGTAAAATTTTTATACTGTTTATCATAAATTCTTAATTACGACGAGTTAGTCATTAAAGAATTTAAGATAATGTCAGTAATTTTACCCTTTCGTATTAGCTAACTTGAAATATTTACTAGTTTGGACAAACGCTTTTTTTGCAATCGATATTGATTGTATTATTATTATTTTTAGTTTTATCATTGTTTTCTCTTCATGTTAGAGTCTTAAATTTCTACAAAATGTTTTGATATTTCAACACTTTATTTTATCCTGGCTTATAATGTTTACTAAAACACTTTTCGCCATGCAGATTATGGGGAGGACTCTGCTACAGAACACATTAAAGAATTTCAGTCATCTGTTATTTCTGCAGAACCGATTCAGTGGAGTCGTTTTTCTCGTGATCCTCCACAAAATGTCCATGTTGATCCAATTTTTTTGCCACTAAGCATTTCCTCAAGCAATTCAAATGGTATGAAAGTCCTTTCCTCCCAACCTGCTGTATATATATTTTTTTGTTCAAATGCAAGTTCTCTTAACTACTTCATATTATATTAATCCATTTATTATCGATTGTATTTATTCATTTTCTTTCACTCAGGACCCCGATTATTATTCTAACAAAGGCAAACAAGCATTTGGACACTGGATCAGTTTTATCACTAAAAAACTCATAAAGGAGTGGCTTGTAATAATAATAACTGATAAGACGAAAAAGGTGGCTTTCAAAAACTCCATTATGACAAAGCTTAAACATGACTTTTCCATCAATTTCACTGATCAGTAAGAGTGAACTTTATTGTGTTATGCTTATTCGCTGGCAATCATGTTCACTGCTTTAGTGCATCATCTTTACTTAATAATTCTTTTTTTACAGCCTGTATGATCTTCCGAGTGATTACGAATGCCTTCCAGGAATCCTTCAAAATCTTCACGCTCGGCTTCGTAGTGCAGTCATTCGTGTGTTCAACAGTACTCTGGATGAAATGGACCAAAAAACCGCTAGCCTGCTTCAAAGTTGTCACGAAAAAGATTGGGATTTCATGGAATATTATCTTTGTTTGGTGCGTATTGCTGTTTAAATTGATTACCTGTGCCACTGAATTTAATTGAATTTTTATGCTTTTAGTATTGTGCAGGTTCAAAATTACCTTTGGAATTTTAGCCTACTTATGTGAAATTTGCCTTGCATCTGCTAGAGTTGATATCCTATGCTGTTTCATGCTCCCACTTTGAATAGGTTAATGATTTTTGGGCTGTTGATCACTTGATAGTCCTAAAATTTGTTTGATCTCGCTAATAAGAAGGGTATATATTGGAAGAGCTTAAGTTGTAATATTTTTGCAAGTAAGAATTTCTTTTCCAAATTGCTGATTTGCGAGATTTTACCATTTTTAAGCTCCTCGAATGCTACGTAAAAAGGATTCTATGGTGCAGCACTTTTCGAGGTTTTCTTTGCATTAACTACGTCAGATGTTCTATTTTACCTAATTAAATAGATCCTTCTGTTTTTTCTCAAATAGCTCTCATACCAATTCATTTTCTAAATATCAAATGCTGAAAAAACTTATAGAGTAATTTACTTTTGCATCCCTTTCCTTTCATGAGGCAAAAATTCTGCATCTGTATGCATTTATTGACGCCATTATTATGTTTTAATTTTTTTTGCCACAGATTAGTACATGGCGCCATAGTGGGTTCATTCTCTAGTTCAATCTATCAACTTTGAGAACTATGTGATTATCTTTTAGTAGCCATGACTGCATTTTACAATTCACAATTATAATGCCAAAATATTAGGCATCTTTAGGGCTTTTAATCAGCTTCCTTGCATTTAAATTAGAGAAAAAGAAGATGGGGAGTCTGAGATAGGTCTCGTTTGTGTTGTAGGACATTGAAGAGTAAAATATCACCTTATTTTGAAGATATCAGCTAAGATTGAACACACTCTATTTCGTGCATATTGCATATTATTTATTTTAATGGTTAATATTGTCCCCTGCTATGCTGAAATACACCTTAATTTGAATAAAATTGACTCTTCGTAGTAGTAATAAGTAGCCAAAATTTCGTGAGTATAGAGCACATAATTTTACTCATATATTTAAGGATTATTTATTTATTTATTTATATCAAATGGCAGGCGTTTTGATNGTTTTGAAGATGTAAGAGAGACAAACAAAGGTAGAAAAAAGGTGAGGAGAGTACTGTGGAAGTAGTCGAATATGGCACACAGTGGGGTGATGGCAGTTTGAAGTCAGAAGTCAAATGCCGGTTAATAGACTTTTTGCCCTATGAGTACACTGTCCAGGGTGCACCACGTGGAGGTAAGTCTATCGCACACACCCCTCCGCTTCCAAATAAGATGTTGATAGTGAAGGCATATTTCCAGGGTGCACCACGTGGAGGTAAGTCTATCGCACACCCACTTGGCTCTCCCCTCAAATTTCAACCCTACACGGATGGGCTTGTTTTTTTTTATTTTTACTATTACCATTACAATTATAATTATGCCTAGCGTTTATTGAGGTAAAAGAACGCTCAATCGATTCGTTACACAAACAAGCCATTCACTTATTTACACCCCAACTTCCCTTCAAAATGGTTGTGGCATTACGCAATGGCGTTCAAATGGAGAGGGCGTTGGGCAAGGAGGGAGAACGTTTCATTGTTGTCACAAAACAAGACCATCCCACCCTCGTCATGTCTTGGTGACAATTTTTTGCTGCTGCAAGAATCGGACATGACTCATTGATGTGGACAGAAACGATTTTGGTACCAATCAGAGGGAGGGAGTGAGAGAGAGAGTAATTTTCATCAACGCCTGACTCACTGTCTGTTTATTTTATCCATCGTAATTTCGTTCTTGTGTTTTCTCACCCTCTCAAAAAGCCATGCAAATTTTGTAGTGATGCTACTGTTGACGGTGGTCGAAAGGAGAACAATAAACAACTCCTTTTTCTCGTTGTTATATCTCTTTGACTTGTAATAGTAACATGGGAAGACGTCAATTGATATATTTCCTAAAATATGTATCTGCTGTTTACTTTAAGTCGAAAAGATAGCAATAATTCTGGGAGAATTAGTTTTTGGTATTTTAACATATTTTTATTTACTTTCGTTTATTTGCTGTTTCATGAAAGAAAGGTTTTGCATTTGTAATTTTTCAATTAATTTTTTTCCTTTGAATTAATTAATAACTATTACCTTTCATACTAAGATTCCTCAGAATTAATTGGCAAATTATTTATTTATTTAATTCCGCGGTTAATTTGTTCCAGGCAATTTGGGTGGAATAATAAATATTTAATTATGATATTTCTATCAATATATTTGTAGTTTTTAAAAAGGTTCAATTTTTTTTCTGTTGAAAAAGTCATTATGCTAATGTTTTCGTCAATCCGAAATTATTTAGATTCCTAATAAATTCTCTAATATATGTATGTATATATAACAAATTAACGTGATAATATAGAGCCAAACTCTTGTTGCATTATTTTGGATGGGGCCCGGAGATTTTTCTTCAATGCGCAAAAAAGTTGATTGATTTGCTTTCACTCAAATTTAAAAAATGAGGCTTCAATTACAATAATGCACATGCTTGTCTTGAGAGTACTTTTTCCACGCAATTTTTTCCCTGTGCAAGTGAATAATTGTTAGGATAAAAGTAAAAATGTTTATTCAAGAAACTTGGAGAGAGAGCATCAGTTGTACAAACCATGGCAAAATTTCCTCATAGAATCACCAAGAAGTGGAGCTTGAAGTGTATACATTCCGCGATCTTGCAATTTATTTCAACGTTAGAAATAGTCATGGCTGCGTCCGGTTTAACCTAAACAGATTTTGTGTCCATTTTTCACTTTTATTTGCAAATTGATAATGAACTAGGTGTAGTCCATTGTGTAGCATCGCTAGTACGTTTGCCTGTATATATTTAATTAATTAATTAATTAATTCCTTGTTTGATCATTTTTCCTTCCCCCACCCCCTCCAAATTCTGTTGGGGCAAAAATTCAACTGAAGGTTCATGGCAGATCACCTTAATTAGCCAATCGTTCAAAAATTGGTTAATTGGACGAGGACGCAATCAGAAATTTGGGTAAAAAAGTTGAACCTAAAACTGGGAGATTTTTTGCAACCCCAAGTCAACAATTAAATGAGATATGGAGCTTATAAGGCAACACTTTGTTCTCAAACATTTTTGCTTCCTTCCCTATATGTGAAATGATTTCCCTAACATGATGTATAATATAATTATAATGTGCTATTGTCATAGTCTTTAAAACTTTCAAAAAACGGCACAATTACCAGTGTCTGGATTTACTCGTCTTGGACAATTAATTTAATCAGGCGTCTACACAAACAAAACTATATTCTCTCTATCAGTAGGAAGTTATTTTTTGCTATAATTATGAGATTTTCTCGGGATAATAGGTTACGATTTCATTCATTGAAAAGTCCCCTGATTTTTTTCTATTACTGTTAAAAATATCGACACAGTAAAAGTGCAGGGTCAGAATTTTGTACCAATGCACTAGTTGAACACCACTGGCAAATATTTTAAAATCTGCTTTTCCTGACTTATTTTCTTACAGTTTTTTTTGTAATCGTGAATCCACTATTACAATGATCGAGATGGTTTCTGACTCATCAGCTGGCGAGGGTTCGAAATTGTGCCAGTTCACATCAAGTGCCGCCCACATTAAGCTTGGAATGGAGCAGTTGTTCTCAGGAAGCGGCGATCAAATTCATCTCCTCTCACTCTTACGCAGCATTAAGAATGCAGGTTTGTTTAGTCACCATAATTATGATAAAATTATCTCCTTCTGTTCGAGATTAAATTGGCATTAGTTGAATATACATAGGTTGAATTTTGACTTACCGTATTGCGTACCAGGGAGATCATTCAGAATTCAATACTGCAATTATAAAATTATAAGCTAAAAGCATCTATTTTTCCATAAGACTCCTTTTTCTCGGGATTCGGGAAGCAGGTGTCATATTACTTTCTCGCCCACGGAAAGTAAGGAGAATTAAAATTTATTTATTTATTTATTTATTCATTTATATCAAATGGCAGGCGTCTTAATGGTTATCATTAGCCCTTTAGTTGACTTCAGGCTTCACAAAGAGGAAGGAACATCAAATTGAAAAAAATCGAGAGGGGGGGGAACAGAAGAGTGTTTCAAAGATGTAAGAGACAAACACGAAGGTAGAACAAAGGTGAGGTGAGTACTGTGGAAATAGTCGAATATGGCATAGAGTGAGGCGATGGTAGTTTGAAGTGAGAAGTCAACTGCCAGTCAATAGACTTTTTTGCCGTATGAATATACGTTGCCCAGGGTGAACCACGTGGAGGTAAGTCTATCGCACACCCCAGGAGAATTAAAATAAAAGTTTAATTAATTCCTAGTAAAAACTATCGATATCGAAGGAAATAAACTTTGGTAAGTAAACCAGCGNAATATCACCTTATTTTGAAGATATCAGCTAAGATTGAACACACTCTATTTCGTGCATATTGCATATTATTTATTTTAATGGTTAATATTGTCCCCTGCTATGCTGAAATACACCTTAATTTGAATAAAATTGACTCTTCGTAGTAGTAATAAGTAGCCAAAATTTCGTGAGTATAGAGCACATAATTTTACTCATATATTTAAGGATTATTTATTTATTTATTTATATCAAATGGCAGGCGTTTTGATAGTTATTATTAGCCCTTTAGTGGACTTCAGGCTCCACAGTGGGGAAGGAACATCAAAGTGAAAAAAAGTCGAGAGGGGGGAGGAACAGAAGAGCGTTTCAAAGATGCAAAAGAGACAGACACAAAGGTAGAAAAAAGGTGAGGTGAGTACTGTGAAAATGACCCAATATGACATGGAGTCAGCTCATGGTAGTTTGAAGCCAGAAGTCAGCTGCCAGTTAATAGACCTTTTTGCCGTATCAGTATACGTTCCCCAGGGTGCACCACATGCAGGTAGGTCTATCGCACACCCCATATCTAAGGATAACATCCTGAAATTGTGGAATCTTGTTAATAAAGCACTGAAAATTACTGGAAGAGCGTGTCTTAGGA